TCATGAATTGACGGACACTTGGGTTGTTCCCATGTCCTTGCAATAGTGAATTGTGCTGCCATAAACATTCGGGTGCAGATGTCTTTATAGTAGAATGTCTTATGCTCTTTTGGGTAGATGCCCAAAAATGCTATTGCTGGGTCGAATGGTATTTCTATATCTAGCTTTTTGAGGTATCTCCAAATTCTTTTCTACAGAGGTTGCACTAATTTGCAGTCCCACCAGCAGTGTAGGAGTGTTCCTGTCACTCAACCTCGGCCAGCCCATTTTTTTTTTTTAAATTCACATGTATTCAGGGGCTTTCTTTTTTTTTTTTTTTTATTTTTTTAATTTTTTTTATTTTGGTATATTATGGGGGTACAGATTTTAAGGTTTCGATAAATGCCCATTTTCCCCCCCTCGCCCCAAAAGTCGATGTCTCCGTCATGACCGTATCCCCCAGATGGTGCCACATCTCACTCATATGTATGCTATATACCGCCCCCCTCCCACCTCCCACCGCCCAATACCCTAATTACTGTAGGGCACTATGGTGTCCACTTAGGTGCTACTCGTAGATTACCAGTTTGCTGGAGAGATATATCTGGTGGGGTTGTTTTTCCATTCTTTGGGATACTTCACTTCAGTAGTATGGTTCCAGCTCTCTAACCAGGCAAAAGTAAAGGTGTGCCCTATATCACCATTGCTTTTCGTTAGAGCTGAAATAGTACTCCAGTGTACAGCTTATACCACATTTTATTAATCCATTCTCTTGATTGCATGGGCCTTGGGCCTGTTTCCACGCCTTGCAATGATGAATTGTGCTGCCCTATTAAACATTCGAGGCTGCAGGTGTCTTTTTTGTAGGAGAGTGTCACTTGCGATCATTTGGGTAGATGCCCAGCATTCCTCGCCCAGCATTTTTTTGTTTTGGGATTTCTTGATACAGGCCATTCTCACTGGTGTTAGATGATATCTCATTGTGGTTTTGAATTGCATTTCTCTGATGATTAGGAATGTTGAGCATTTTTTATTTTGCAGGCATTTTCTGTCTTCTTGGAATTTCTGTTCATTTCTTTTGCCCATTTCTTGATGGGATTGTTTGATTTTTTTTCTTGTTTATTCTTTTTAAGTTCTAGATAGTTTCTTGTTATTAGACCTTTATCAGAAGTGTAGAGAGCAAATATTTTCTCCTACTCTGTGGGTTGTCTATTGGCTCTAATGATGGTTTCCTTAGCTGTGCAGAAACTTTTTAATTTGATGAGATTCCATTTGTTTATGTTTGATGCAGTGGTGATTGCCTTGTGGCTCTTCCTCAAAAATTATTTGCCTAGACCAATGTCTGATAGGGTTTTCCCAACGTCTTCTTCTAGAGATTCTTAAGTTTCATGCCTTAGGTTTAAGTCTGTTATTCCACTTCTTGAGTGAATTTTTGGAGAGGTGAGAGGGTAGGGATCCTGATTCACTCTTCTGCATGTAGCTAAACCAGTTTTCCCGCACCGTTTATTGAAGAGGGATTCTTTTCCCTTGGTATATTTTTGTCTGCTTTATCAAATTTAGGTTTCTGTATACTGATGGTTTCATCTCTGGTATTGCGGATCTATTCCATGATATCGAGTGCTTCTTGTCTTGTGCCAGTAGCAGGCTGATTTAACTATTATTGCTTTATAGTAAAGCTTGAAGTCAGGAAGACTGACGCCTCCCAGTTTGTTCTTCTTCCTTAAGATTGCTTTGGCTATACAAGGTTTCTTCTGGCTTTCATACAAAGCCGCAGAATTATTTTTTCTAGATCTATAAAGAATCTACTCAATTGTAAGAAATGACAGTTGCCTAGCACCTTTATGCTACCCTGGATTAAGCTTACGCCGTGTATCCAAAGTGAGGTGACACAAGATCAAGGAAATGGGCTCCACATCTACTCGCCATCAAATTGGTACTGACTGATTAAAACTATAGTGCTCAAATGGTGGTAGTGCTCACCAGGGTTTGGGGGAGGGGGAGATACTCATCTTAGGGTTGTGGGGAGGGAGGGAATACCTCTAACCCTTCGTAGGGAAAGGCAAAGATATACAATGTAACCCAAAGGTCAAAAAAAGAAAAAAAAAACTTTTATCGGGTGGTGGGCAGATGGGAGGGGGAAGGAGGGGAAGGATATTTACTTACAAAATAGGTATGATGCGCACCACCTGGGGGTAGGATGTTTTGGTAAGGCCGGGGGTTGGGGGAGGAATGGCAGGGGCAATATATGTAACCCTAACAATATTTGTACCCCCATAATATGATAAAATAAAAGGGAAAAAAATTTAACACAATTTCCAAAGTTACTTTACCTAAATACATCTCACATTTGATTGCTCCATATGTCACAACCAAGTTCCTGAAGTAAAATTTTAGAAGTGTTAGGGAAAATAGAGGCATCACACAAAGAGGGACAGAGATTAACACAAGATTAGCGGACCTCACATTATTGCAACGTAGCATGGTGGTCAAGGGTGCGAGTCTTAGAATCAGGCAGACCTAAGTTCTGATCCCGTTTCTGTCATCAATACCTTAGGTAAGTTTCTTAAACTCTACTAGCTTCAATTGCCTGATCTGTGAAATGGGATAACAGTAAGGACTGAAGGAGACAGTACATATTTTAAAACACACAGTAACTGCTCAGTAAACTAACAATAAATTTTACCAACGTACTGAAGCTTAAAGAGATTATAGAGTAAGTGGTAAGTATTTGTAAAAGGGTGGGGGGACAGAGATGATAAAGTAAGGTTTTGGTCTAGATGGCCTAAGAGAGTAGGGAGAAGTACAGGGGATGAGACACATGAAGGAAAACATTCCAGAAAAGTGGCATTGAGTGAGAGGAATATTTAGGAAGCAAATCACAGATCTATAAGATCCGTGATCCATAAGAAATTTTTTTTTATTTCGGCATATTATGGGGGTACAAATTTTAAGGTTTCAATAAGATGCTCTTCTCCCTCTCCCCACAAGTCTGAGTTCTCCAGATGGACCATCCCCCAGGCGTTTTTTTTTTTTTTTTTTTTTTTTTTTGTTTGTTTTGTTGGGTGGTGCACATCTCATCATATGGTATGATGGATACCCGCCTCTCCCCCCTCCCACCGTCCATACCCTATACTGTAGACCGTATGTGTCCACTTAGGTGCTGCCCTCATTAGGATACCAGATTGGCTGGTGCAGTATATGTGGTGCTTGTTTTGTCCATTCTTGCGAACCCGCTTCACTCGGCCTGAGCTAGTATGAGTTTCCAGCTCTATACAGGAGAAATAGTAAGATCGTGCTATGATCCGACCATTGTTTCTTAGAGCTGAATACGTATCCGGGTATGGTATACAGTATACCACTTTTATTAATCCATTCTGGAATGATGGCAGCTTGCGCCCGTTCAAGCTTTGCGATATGAATGTGGCCTGCGCGTGAGAGAAGGCGATGTCGAGGTGCAGGTGTCTTGCTTTGCTAGAGTGTCATTGCATCTTTTGCGTAGATGCCCAGCAATGAGTTGTGGATCAAATGCGTAGATTCACTGTATCGCTGAAGTGGGTAGTCGGCGCGAGATGGCGGTCCACATGAGTTGAAACTAGTTTGCCAGTCCAGCCAGCATGTTAGAGTGCTTCCTTTCTTTCTGCATCCATGCCAGCATTTCAGGGTGTTGGAGGAGCATTTTGATAAAGGCCATTGCTCACTGGATAACGATATCTAATCGTGTTTGATCTTGCATTTCGCGTGATGAATTAGAGATGTTGAAGATTGTCGCGAGTGAGGTTGCGCGGATGCGCGTCTAGAGGAAGTGCGTTGCAAAGTCCTTTCGCCCAGCTTGGTGTAATAGGGTTATTTGATTTTTCTTCCTGATTTTGATCTGGGCCCGGTCGGCGGGGCGTGACGCGTTTAACGTTATGAGTCTAGTTATCAGCCCTTTATCAGATGTGTAGAGCAAACATTTCTCCCATTCTGTAGGTTGTGCTGTTTAGCTTTCAGACTATTTCTTTGCTGTGGCAGAAGGCTGTGTAGTTGAACATGTCCATTTACTTGATTTTTGTTGCTGCTGAGTGCTTTGGGGACCGATCAGTTCCTAGAACTCTTTGCCATAGCCGGATTGCTAGAGATGAGTGTTTCCAACATTTTCCCTCTAGAGTTCGAATAGTTCGTAATAAAGTTTTAAGAGTGCCACGAGGAGAAAAATCAAGGATATATAAAAGTATTTTAATCCAAGGAGGAGATGTAGTAGCATTGAATGTGCGACGTAGGATCAGTACTATCATCTATACTAATAGAGATGCCATGCGATGCATCCTGCCTGCCCTCACGGAGTGTAGAAAGCGAAGAGCTCGGTGCTCTACTATCGATATCAGCAATGAGAAAAATCTATGTAATCAAGAAAATAATAATTATTCTTGTACCCATCAGAGAGCTCAGGTCACAAGCAACCAAATCTAAGGAAAGACAGATACCTCCAAGAAGAGATGAGATGTAGGCACAAACTCACCTGTGGTAGAGCATGAAAGGAAAAGCCAAGCAGCATACAAGTAGGTAAGAAGAATTCTGCTGAAATTTGTAATGAGTTGCTAGAGGCCATGTGCACAGACTAGCATTAGAAAAGAGAAACCTTAGAAGCTGCAAACACAAAGGGACTTTGCAGTCTCTTCTCCGTGTACAGAGAGGGGCAGGATGGGAGATGGAAGAGCCTCCTCTAGTAATGCATATCTAAAGTTGGAGCAGGACCAAAGATGTGGGAAAGACAAGAACCCCTTCCAGAACCCTTCTCTCCTATGGAACAAGATACTTAAACCCCCTAGATTAAGGGGAGCAAATCCTGTGGCCTCTAGGACACAGATAAAGATCTATAGCATCTGAGGTACAGGAAAAGAAAAAAAAACTATATCCCTGGGAAGGATCAGGAAACTATCCTGGCCCAGGATATTAAAGAGCTCCTAGCACAGAAGGAGGAGAAGGATGATTGAAAAGTTCTCTTTGTGAATTCCAAAGACAATGGGCTGCCTGATTCTGATACAGGACCATGACAACTGAAAACTCCCCACCTCTCACTGCCAGGCTAGCAGACATGGAGTAACAAGAAACAGCAATCTAATGCTGCGTGGCAAGGGCACAGAGAGAAACCACTCTCTGGGGTAGACACAGAGAAACATTGAGAAAAGCCTTCTAGCAACTCAGTCCCCACCCAAAGCAGAATGTAATACTACTAGATTAGAAGCCAGTGGTGCCCTGAAGGTAACCACAGCAACAAAAATAAACCCAATCCCAGCTGAACTTCAGACCAATTCAAACACCTTGAGTGTGTCCCCCATGCCTGGGGAGCTTAATAATACTTGGGCCACTGGAAGAAATTCTGATTCCAATGGTCTAGGGTGGGAACCTTGTCCTGGCATTTATTTAAAAGCTCCCTCAGCTGATTCTAATGTAAGTGGGATTGAGAACCCCTAGCCTTGTCCCTTGTTCTCAAGTCACCAGTCACGCACCTAGTGACCTTGAATTCTGTGACCTCTTGTGTAGTGGCTCATAAACACCTTTTAAAAACCAGCTGATGGTGATTTAAGCGAGATCAGGCATGTCTGAAGAAAACACTGACTCTCTAGGACCGTGACCGACAGCCATGCTGCAGAGCCTGGAAACATGCCCAGTGAGAACTTTCAGTTCTTGGTCGAGCTGGGCGCTCCATTCCTCTTGCTGCGGTCTCAACCGTGCAGTTTCAGCCGTGCTGCAAACCTGCAACAAGCTCCGAGGAGGCAGGTCTGCAGTGATGTGCAAGGTGAGCCTGTACAGTAAGGAGAGACGCTGCAAATGCCACAGAAACCCCAGCCCCTCCATGCGGCCAGAGCAGGCAGCTGATTACACTTGGACAAAACACCTTTATAGTGCAAAGCTGACTCCCCGCCTGTAATAGCAGATCCCATGGGCGCCCCATAATCCGCACAAAGATGGCCAGTTTGTTTTATCATCTGTTTTCCACAAGTGGATCATATGGAATCTGCCAAATTAAGAAAGTGGGAAGTCATTGCCTTCTTTATCAATCCTGGCCAGTGCCATGTGCACAAATGCCTCTTCTTCCACCTCCCCTACCCAGCCCCCTGTTAGGCCGCAGAAATGTACAGCCCGTGTGGGGGAGAAACAACCGCTCAAAAAGACTCAGAGTCCAGAGACTTGATGCAATAGCATGAGGTGGATTTATTTTCCAGCACAGCGCAGGGGCAAGCAGCACCACCGAGCTAGGGAAGCTGCTGCCCCGACCTTTTTATCCTTAGGATTTTTATAGACAGAAACCACACGCAGGTGGCTAGGGATCACAGGGTGGGGGGAAGTTCCATGGGCTTTGACCTTGCACAAACATGTACCAGATGAGCTAATGACGGGAACTTCTAATCTTGGTCAATAATTTCCAAGGACTAACGGCTGGGAAGTTACAGAGTGGCGCCAGCAGGGGAAGGGAGTAGGGTTGAGCGAGCAGATTTTACAGAAGCAGAACGGTGGGTTAGATTTTTCTCCACACCCCCAGCCATGATTCGAGTTAATATTCAGAAGATGCTGCAAAAAAGAAATGGGAGAAAATAGTAAAGAATTTGCCAGTTTGTTTTCCACACACACACACACACAAAGCCAGTGTTCTCGGCTGAGATAAATCACTGTGGAGCGGCCTCTCTGCACACAGGTTATTGCTTTTCCAGGAAAAGCCTCTACATGTGTGTCTGCAATACCAGCATCCCCAGCGGAAGCTGACCTGGCTGCTCCCTCTCCCTCCCCCACAGAGGATGGGACCATGTGGGTCTAGTATCTCTCACATTCAACACACTCACACACACACACACACACACACACACACACACACCCCTAGCTCAGAGATTTGGCATTTATCATTGTAAAGAACTGTTCTACAAAATACAGGGGATTGTAATACCCCTGGCCCATATGCCCTAAATGCCAGTAGCAGCCCCAGTTGCCATAATAACCAGAAACACCTCACATTCTTTAATGTCCCCGGGAGAGCCCGTGCCCCTCTAGAATGAGAACCATCAGCTGCATCCGTGCTGGGCATTTGCCCTCACCCTTCAGTGCAGCAGTTCTCAGATTTCAAAGCCCCTTATGCCTGGGTGCCACCTCCAGAGATGCTCATGTGATTAGCCTAAATTGCATCTTTAGTTTTTAATCAGTGAAAGGTTAAAAACTGCCCAGATGATTCCAATGGGTAGCTGACAACAACCTCCCCAGGGCTGAATCCGTTGTGTCTGAGACCCTGCAACGGCAGACTCGGGCCAGCGCCTCTCCTGCCTGGGTGCACGGCTGCCCCAGCACGCACTAGAGCAGCTGTCTTTGAGTCAGGACTGATGCTCCACTCAGTTCACCAGCACCCCCAGCACTGGGATCTGACGTCCACTTGGCTATTCTACACCATGTCTCCTGCCTGCCGAGTGATAGACGGATCAGCGAGATGCTAACTGCTAAATGAAGCAGCCTCCGGCTCTTCCTCTCCAGGAGACGTTGTCGAAGGGGAAATGGAAAGCTGCACGTCCACAGCTTGGCCAGAGAAACAGGGAAAGGCGGATCTCTGGCTTGGGAGCAGGAGTCCTCCACACTGCTCCGGGCCTTCAGGAAGGGCATCACCACCCACGATGCGCTGGGGACCGTGAAATGTCTCTGGGTAGCCCTGCTTAATTATGGCGGCATTTAGCTACCCCACACTGGGCTCGTTAATGAATATCTCCTCCTTCACAGCTCCCCTGGGGGACTTCACTCTGTTGGTCTCGTTTATTTGGCTGGCGTTTCCTGGGAAGCTGGTTTAGTAGGGCAACAAAGGTAAGTATTTTTCTCAGAAAGAAATCTCCTTTGTTTAAATCTTGCTATCTTAAAGGTCTTTTTGTTGTTGTTTTAGGAAGTAGAAAAGCTTGGATTCTATGGCAGGGAGCCAATCTTTCAAGAAGACAACTGAGAAAGCATACCTCTGGTTGCTTCCAGCTCTAAGTTCTTTCTTTCTTTCTTTTTTTCTTTTTTTTTTATGCATGCCAGAAATGCCAGAAAATAGCAAGGTGGAGGGCTAGCAAGGTGACTCTGCATTTGCCAAGTTCCACAATGTTCCACGACTCCCACTATGGCTGATTTCAGGCTACCAACATCTTAACAACTGGCTGTCTCATCTCCTGCCCCATTCGCTCAAGCATACACACAGCTGTAAGCTAACTACCCATTTATATCTCCTGAAGCCACACGATTTAAATACCCTAGGAAAGGGTGGTGTGCTGTCTGACAACTTGGGAAGACAGATGCTCAGAGACTCTAAGAAGAGGCCCTGGGAAGGCTGGAAATAGAAGAGAAGCCATGGAATTGCAGAGAGACTACGAGGTGGGCGTGGAGAGGGACGCAAAGTCACCATCACACAGAGCAAGGCGCTAAGCTTCCAGAAGGTCTCCAGCTTACTTAGCCCCTTTCTTCTCATTAGAAATCTATGAGGTGTGAACAATGTATCTGGAAATGATCCGGGAAAGGGAGCACAAAGCTAAAGGCAGAATCGCTGTGGGGTCCTGAAGAACTGGGCATGGTGCTTGCCGAGTCCCCGGGCAACGTGGCGCCACCGTGGGTTTAAACCTGTTGAGCCGCGCGGGCGCCGGGGCCGTCTGCAGATGAGGCTTTGACCAGCTGGGGAGGTGTAGCCAGTGTGTGCAGACGCCAGCTCGATGCCATTTCGTGAGGTTTGCCGCGCTGCTATTAGTGTTAAAAAGCTCCACAAAGGAAAAGGAAAAGAGAAAGTCATATACTGTTGCTTTCAGCAATTAACGTGGGTTCTACAGCAGGGGGAGTTCGCCTGTGTAATAAACAGAATATTATAGGTAGCAATACCGAAAGGCAACATTTACCGTTCATCCGGCACTGCTTACATGTAATGCTTTTCATATAATGGCATTTTAATTCTCATGACTATGAGGTAGGTGTTATTATTAAGCCCATTTTACAGATAAGGAAACCGAGGCTCAGACCATTTAAGTAACTTACCAAAGCTCACACACTAGTAAGTAGCAGAGTGAGGCTGAAGCCTGGTAGCGTGGCTTGGAATCATAAGGGCTCTACTATGGACGAGATCTTTCCATTCAGTCACTTCGCCCTGGCCATCGTGCATTCTGGGCGTGTGACTGTTAGCTGCTCCAGGGCGTGTGACTGTTAGCTTTTTGACTGTTAGCTGCTCCAGGGAACAGACCCTGAGTGTCTGGTTCATCACAAAGTCCCCAGAAACGCCAATTCCTGACTTGTGGTATTTCCTGACTTGCAGTAGGGTCTTGAAGGTAGCGGCACCATGCGGTTTGAACTTCTGGGCACTGACTCTGCTTTTTCCTCTCAGAGGAGGAAGGAACCTTGCCAACGTTGAGTTTACGCAAGAACCAGGAGGAGTAATATTTATAATGGTCCCTTAAATGAAAGCCAATACATTGCTAGTGTGAGTTATTCACAGTGAGGCCACAAAGGCAGAGATGGGGCCAGAACCGTGCTTTCCAGATCAGTGCAGACCCCGGCAGAGGGCCCCGTGACCAACTCTGGGCTAGAAGATGCGCCTGCCGAGACATGCTGCCTTCGTTCCCATCTGCGGGGCTGTCTTTCTTCTGGAAAAAAATGCAAGTTTGTAACGTTGGCTAATTAATGTTGGCTAATCTCAACTTACATACCCTGCCTGAAACATGGATGTCATAATAAGCATTTGTTGCTGGCGTGAACGAATTGGGGGTTTCCCTGAGCTGCCTAGTACTATTGGAGAAACTCACTGCCAGGGACCCACACCAGGGGGAAAATTCTCAGATCCCCTTCCCCCAGCCCCTGGGCCTCTTCAACCTTTAGACAGTGGGTGCTAGAGACTCAGTCCCCCTCCCTCTGCAAAGCCCTGCGTGTGCGGAGCAGACTCATCATAGGGGTCTGGCGTGTGGCGGAGCCTCAAGGTTTCCCGTGTGTGAGTCACAGAGAAAGCAAGGCGTGAGGTCCTTGGTTCACAGCCCCATTGTCACACCCCCTCCAGGTGGGAGAGGAGCTCAGCCTCCCTCTCCTCACGTCCTGCCTGCGCTTTGTCCATCGGCGAGGTTGGGTTTGACATAATTCAGACTCACTTCCGAGGATTCATTTTTCATGTGAGTTGCATGTAAACCCAAAACAATATTTTCCCCCTTTTTTTCTATAAAAGTCCTGGTTATACTTTCTCTCTTTTTGTCCTGGTCTTGTTTTGTTTGTTTTTCTTTCAAGAAGAGGAAAGAAAATATAAACCCTTTAAAATAATGTGCTATGGAAAGACTCAAAGATCTCGTAGACATATTTTTTGAATAATAAGAGCCATTACTGCACACCCAACAGCTGCTCTGACACACCGTAACAGAAGGGGCCTTGGAACGTCCAAACGTGAAATTATCACTGTAGTTTCCTACAGCCTGGCTGAACTATTTCCTGCCTCTATATCAAAGAATCCCATTACCCTCCGGGTGCACCCCACCGGTGGTTCAGACAAGCGGAATACTGCCTGGCTTAGAATTTGCAGCCGCTAAAATGCACGGCTGGGTCAGGGCACAGCCCCGACGGGCGTTGTGCACAGAAACAGAAGTTGTGTGCAACAACTTACAAGAAATACAGATGCATTTCTTGAATGTGTCCAGTGACTAATGTTATGAGAAATACCCACAGGGCTATGCTCATCCTAGGGAAAACTTTTTAATTAAAGAAGAGATTTTCAATAGCTCACATCTCGAAAGGTCCACTGGGTTTAGGAATGGAAAGTTACTGGGCTATCTAGGATAAGCCACTCCACTCTAGGCTGGGATCCTTTGTGTGCACAGAGGAGAGAAAATATGCAAATGACTAGAATGTACAAAGTGGTTTGATGAAGGCTGAGCAAAGCCCTAGGATGTGATAGCAAGGGTCCTGACACAGGGCTAGAGACCTCACAACTAGTTTCTGCTCAGCTTGTGCCTGACTGGTGACCTCAGGTCAGTCTCTGAGCCTCAGTTTTCCAATCTGTGGCATGGCACGGACCAGCATGCTGCCTGTCACGGCACACTTAATGATTGCTGAACAAAGGAAGGAAGGATTCTCTAGCACTGCTGCAGACTCAGATTTAAAATAACATATGCCCTCTCACCTTGCCCACCTTCTAAAGCCCCCAAATCCTAATCTAACCCCCCAGCAGAAGGGGTGGGCTCCTGCTCTGGGAACAACAGCTGCATGTGGCCCTGTAGTGAACTGGGGAGGAAGGAGGTAGCTCTGAGTACAACCCAGTTACAGAAAAGCAAGTGATAGGCACATGCTCCCTCCTGCCTCAATTGACACATGTGGCTTGAGGCCCTTTGCAGTCCCTCCCAAGCCCTTTCTGCTTTGTCCCGGGCTAGGCAGAGCTGCCCCAGCCCTAGACCTCGGGCTGCCATCCCTCCCACTCCTGTGTCGTGGCCAGAGCAATTTTTCTCAGAAAAGCAACACTCTTGCTTTCCAGTGCTCAGGTGGATCCTTGGTTAGGTAGGGGTGTAGCCCTCCTCGCAACCACAGCAGCCTTCGGAAGCGCCCCATGAGGTTCCTGCACCCCAGAAATCAACCCAGGAGAAAGAGCCAGCTTGTCTCCACTGGCTTCCCCCTCTGCTCTTCCTCCTTCCGCCGCATTCTTTTGGACCCCACGGTTCCTCCAAGATTCATTCATACATCTTCCCTCAAGATGATGAGGTAGGGACAAAAATTAGGAACGTTTGAAAATTCACAGCCCCTTGTCCTTCCTCCCTCCTTCCCCATCAATTACATAAAAGCCAGTGTTGGCGGCAGGGCGTTCTCCTCCCTCTCCGTCCCCCACCCCACGTCATTGCATGAGTAGGGAAAGAAGATTCACAAAAAAAGGAAGAGGGAAGAAAATATTTTGAAATAGAAGCAGAAAAAAAAACAGATCAAAAAGTGCTGGGTAACGCAGACAGAGAAAGAAGAGTCAAGCAAGCCTTAGGGAGTTTGGGCTTAAGAGTCAAGGGAATGGAAAAGAGTTTTGAGGATCTGCATAGACTTGACTGAGAATGGGGTAGCAGGGAGAGTATTTTAAGATGGTTTGCTGCATAAAGAATATACTTCCTCCAGAGACTGAAAAAAGGATTGCCTTACTGTTCACGACTTTATGATGGCTTCACCGTGTGTCTCTGAATATGGCCCAGGCCAAGGCTGATCATGACTGACTCCTTGCATTTTGGGGAGAGTTACTTACTCTAGGGAGGCCTTCTTCCCAGGCTGGGTTCCTATGTGTTCCTTCCCCATCCTTGACCTATGCTGACCCATTTTCTCCTTCGAAAAATACAAACGTAAATTGCTTATTCTTGCCCCAGGCATACTAGAATTTTGCAAAAGTCCTTATAACTTGGAAGGACAGGCTTCCCTTCTTTCCACTTTCACTGCCACCCAACCTCAACCTCCTACACAAGAACGTGGCTTTGAGGTGGCAGCTGGGAGGGGGTGCTGGTCAGGGATGGGGTGGGGGCGCTGGAGCCCAGGCCAGGGAGGGGAGGCGGCTACGGTGGGGAGTTTGCCCCAGTGTCAACATCAGCACCCTTAAATAAAAACACTCCCCAAGTGGTTTTGTCCTTAAAGTTAGCAAGGCCAAGTGTCACTCTGCAAAAGGCTGGTTTTTCTTGAAGGCACAGGAGTTTTAGAGGATTGGAAAACATGCAAGCATGTGGTATTCCACAGGATCCAAAGCATTTCCTATCTGCAGCATCTCTCTTCCAATTTTTAGCCAGCAATGTTGATTAAGTAGATAACTCGAAGACAGCCAATACTGCACAATTTCATCGAAAGGCAATTCACTGCTTTCATAACAGTGGGGATGGCTCCTGGTATTAGACAGGCAGAAGTGGCTCATCCATCTCTGGGGATAATGTATGTGACTTGGATGACACTTAATTTAACACAGGTCACCCAAAAAGATGGTGATTTAATGTCCCAGATTTTTTTTAAGTGCTGCTTTGCTGTCATTAGGTTAGTTTCACCTCACACTTCTTTGTTTTCATTTGAAGAGAAATCTCTTTGAAAGAAATAATTGTAAACCATCACTTTTCCAACTGTGGGCAGGGAATAGAATGCCCAAGGTCAAACCCTGGACCTTGAATCCCAGAGTTAAGCCTCTGTGCTCTCAGTGAGAGGAATGAATGTAGATTTGTGAATGTGAAGCAAAAAGGGAGCCCCAGCTGTGCCTAAGAGATGGAATCTGCACAATGCCCAAGCATGATACACGAATGATTTCCTCCTTGCACTTTAGGGAGACAAAACCTGCCATGGCAGTCACCCTGAAAAACTACCCCATTGACACTCATTTGTTATAGGAAATGCCCAGTTGCAGAAAACCCTCCACCTTAAAACTGAACAATCCCTCTTTTGAAATGCCCCCAACCTGCTAGCCTGTCCTCTGGCAACCAAACAAGACTGTCGAATGTACCTGAAGACCAACCAGAAGGTCTCCCTGCCTTTAAAAACCCCCCTAAATAGACCACTTGCCAATCGGACACTGCCTCAGTGTTTCCACTTTTTACTCTATAAAACTCACTCTCCTTTCCAGTGCCCTTGAACCCCTGCTGAAATGAAAGGACAGCTGATAGGTGCCCTGGCCACAAGTTTATGGAAAGACGGCCTTTGTTAATTCTTGTCTTGGACTTAGTTCTACTTTGATACCCACAACGGAGATAGTGTTATTCCCAGAGCACTGACAAGTAATAGGAAGTTTGGTGAGATACGTGATTGCCCAAAGTCATAGAGGGAAGCTGGAATTTGGACCCAGGGCTGTCTGCCTCCAAGCTCATGCATTTTCCCCCAACCCATACTCCCCTACCCTCCAGTTTAAACAACCTCTC